TATTTTCCATCTTACATCAATGATCTGCCAACTTGGCTTCAATCTCCTTCACCAATATATGGTTACGCTGATGATCTCAATCTCCTCAAATCGTCTACCTACACCAACCTTGAATGCATTCACAATGAAATTGAACAAGAAAATTAAAAACCGCCTGCTACTTTGGTTTTCTGCTAACTCACGCTAACTCACTTCAACCCAACTTATCAAAATATCAGTATATGCTGTTTGGCACTCGTCAACAACTACAGAAAGTACCTGCTCACATCAAAACTCTCATTATAAAAGATCAAACAATTCACTCAACTACATCTGCAACTTGTCTTGGGCTGAGAATGGATTCTGAATTAAAATGGTGTAACCATATAGCCTACCCTCGTAGGACATGTGGATTCCGCCTATAACGCCTCGCAAGATCTCGTCGCTGCATTTCTGAGAAAGCTCGCAAGGACATAATCTCCACAGTATTCTCACTACTTGATTACTGTGACACTGTGTATTCTAACTGCAGCATTACACTAAAAAGTAGTCTGCAACGTATCATCAACCTTGCTGTACATATCCAATGCAAGTCCCCATTGCAAGATCAGCTCTTGGTTGGTCAACCATTCAAGACAGACAAACTCAACACTTTAATAAACTCGTTTACAAATGCAAGCAATATTTAGTCCCACCATACTTATCTGACCTTCTCATTTCAAACTCTGCCATCCATTTCTACAACACCAGAAATCGATTTCATATTTCAAAATCTCACACTCGCTTTTTTAAATATCGCGCAGCTACAGCTGCTAATAATATTGTATAATTTTATCTTACTACTTTGTTGTCAATTCATATTTTACCCCATTTATGCATTTTATCGTTTCGTTCGGACTGCTATGTTATTGTCATTTTTTATTGTAATTTTATTATATTATTTTGTAGTCATTTTATTTTATACCCTATTTATGCTTTTTATATTGTGTTCTCGTTATTTTTGCAGTAATTTGTTTAATTCTATGTTAATTTTTATATCCATATGCTGTGCACGAAAAAACATTTATGAATGTACTGTTCTAAATGAATAAATTACAAATAGATTACAAAATATTGCCACTGATCTTTATCATCTTCTTCTTCACGATGGATGAGCCAACATTTTGTACCACAATGCAACTGCCATCAGTGGACTTCAGGATGATCATAAAAGTCGAAACAGGCAGTCCCTGGAACAATGATGTCATATTCCAATGGGTTAGGAACCCACTGCAGGTAGCAACTCATCCTCATCATAAAGGGTATTGGCATCTAAGTCTTCTACTCATGGGTTGTTACCACTTACATAATGCTCTGAGACCATTGAATCCCACCATGCAGCCCACTTGGTGACACATGGTGACTGACTTGTGGGTCTCCAATCCTCGTTGGCCACCCACATGCATTTTTTGAGTTGGCAAACCCTGTCTTAATCCCACTTTTCTCATACTGGAGTGCGATAAGACATTCGTTTGCTGCATTATGTCCTCTGTATTTCACAGGAAGCTTTGTGCAACCATCAAGCTTTGTGCAACCATCAAAACGTACAATAATATAGCAGTAGCCTAAATGGCTTTGTATTGGGTGTTACTTTTTGATGGGTCATCATAGAAAATGGGGTTGGTGCCTGTTTATGATGATTCTAGAAAGAATACTTGGTGCCTTCTTCTGGCAACTCAACCCTCACTGCTGTTTTACCTATAACACAGCATTCTGGCTTGTGGGCCTCTATCAGATCTTCTTGAGTGTCTTCTGGATAGTGGGAAAGCCCTAATGCCCCGGTCTCATGGGCCTGCAGGACTACCTCCCAGTGGTGACGGGGCACTGGGTCTGTATATTCCTCCCTGCCATTAGCATTGTTTGTCTTAAGTTGATCCGAAGTAAGATTCTACTACCTATGAGCGCTGCATAATAATAGGCTCACCTGTATTGTTATCATCAAACAGCTTCAGGATGTTCTTCTGGTAGTCCTGAGTTGTTCGAAAAATTGTTGGTACAGGTTTGGGGTCAAACTCTTTCACAGTGGCTTTTCTCTTCTTAGACGAGACAGGGGGAAGGTCAATATCTCTAAGCAGTAATGGTTTTAGCAAGTGCTTCATTGCTTTTGGGATTGGTTCATCCAGGATGTTGTGAACACTCTTGATTAGCTCCGGTGTTTTCAGTTCATATGTATGGTTTGATGGATATGGTACATTAATGGTGTTCAGAACAGTAGTAGTACAGTCATGGCAAATCAGTGGTCAATCTTCAAAGAACGGCAACAATGCAATTTGTGGGCTATTTACCCTTATGTCATTCGTTCGAGTACATATTGTAAAACAATCACAACATTTTGGTAAATACGATTTAATGTTAAAGTGAATTTAGTGAGATAGATCGGTCCGTACTTTCATGCTGGTAGACAGTTGATGAAACGTTTGAATAAATAAT